TATGTTGCATGTCATCAACTTTTCACTATTTTCAATCTCCATGGTTCAGAATTCCTGAATTCAAAGTTTATACCAAGTTCAATCTTTGAATGGCCCCCAACATTTGTTTTTCCCACTTCTAGAAATTAAGAAAAAGAAAGATGTTTCTATACTGCTAGAGTTCCTTGTTCTTTTATATTGTTTTTCTAATATGTTTGAAGAAGGTGCAAATAATTTATGTCTAAGATATGATTATCAATACTGTAAAAAGAAAAGGCCATTTTGTATCTTAAATCTCAAAACCCTTTAATATGTTTAGGGTATAGCCATATCCTCATTTGTACTATTACTTCTGATTGCAAGGATGAATTTCTTCCCCTTTTGCAATAAAACTTCTATTTTAGTTTTCCCAGGACCTTGGTTTTGATATGAGTTAGCCTCATATATCAAAGGAGTTGATATTTCAACATATACATGTCACATTTTAAGTTACATAAGGAAGTCATTTTTTTCTTGGGGTCAAATGATGGCAGGAGTTCCCAACTTTGTTTTGTACATACACATACCCATCCTTGAATATTTCTTTCCTGTAATTTAAAGGCAGAGTTTAGGATAGTTCCACAGAGCTGAAGGAGGTGTATGCAATTGCAAATTGCCTGCTGCCAGTAAAAACTTATATAATAATAATTTAAGATGACAGGTTCCTTACTATTTCCATATCCAGCCCTAACAATCTGAATTTAAAGTTCTTTTAAGCCATTTACTGTACACTACTGTGAGATGGAATGTGACAACTTGGTGCGGCCAGCTCAGCGCAGCCACCTCAGCATGGCCAGCCCGCCATTGCAAAGTCACCTCTATCAACTCACTGCCGCCAAGTCATCACAGGACATCTCACCATGGCCAATTCGCTGTGGGACCAACTCACCGCAGGCAGCTAGAAGGAGAGCTGGACAGACGACTGGGTAGGCAGAGTGCAGAGCAGCAATGGTGGCAACTGGAGGCTTCCCATTTTCACACACACACACCATCACTGCTGCTGCCATGGGCCATTTGGATGCAGTGGTGATGTTTGAGCCATTTGGTGGCAGTGGTGGGATGGGTGGCAGAGAGGTAGCAGGGGCCAGGCGCATGTTATTTTCACATCCCCTATTGCTGCTGCACCAAGCTCCCAGGGAGTATGAAAAGCCTGGCTTCTGCTGACTCCCTGCCACCTGTCTCTCGCACAACCACCACAACAAATGGCCCAAACATCGTGCTGCTAAACAGCCTGCAGAGGCAGTAGGGTAGTGGTAGTGAACCTATGGCACGGGTGCCAGAGGTGGCACTCAGAGCCCTCTCTGTGGGCATACGTGCCGTCGCCCCAGTCCTAGGCCTTCAGCTGGGTTTTATAAAACCTTTTTGCTTTAGGCCTCCGCCGCTGTGTGCAAAAGAAAAAAGGTTCAATCAGTCAATTTCAACTTCTTGCAGGAAAAAAAAAGATCTCGCAAAGTTGGAATTGATTGATTGAACTTTTTAGTCCCACCTAGTCTGCCGTTACCACCGCAGCCATGCCCACATAATGGGCCACACCCAGCCAATGGGCCACACCCACCCGGCACTCGACGATGCATAAGTGGGCTTTGGGTTGCAGTTTGGGCACTCAGTCTCTAAAAGGTTTGCCATCACTGCAGTAGGGTGTGTGAAATGGTATGTTCCTGGCCATCCCTACTGCTGTGCGCACTGCTCACCTGCATGTCAAATTCCTTTTTAGTAAGACTTGATGAAAGGAACAATCTGCAAATAGAAGCCTTGGCATCAGAGAACTGTCCTTCCTCCAGCCTCTGAATAATGATATCTTTTTCCTCAGAAGGAAGTGTCTGAAATTTATGCATTCATATATTTATTTCTGAGAGTAACTATAAAGGAGCATCCAGTAAGACTGTTTATACACACCCACTGCTTGGCTCAGTTTGACAGCAGAACTACAGACTGTAGGTGTGCAGACAGAATGGGGTCATACAGAGTTGATCTCCACATGGAACGCTGGCTGGTGAGACTGCTGCTATTTCAGGCAGGTGAGTGCCAATGAAATGTGAAATGATGGAGGTGCTGGCCTGAAAGAAATGCTGATCTTTTCCCCCTTCTGTTTTCCTCATTTAATGCTGACGATACATTACATGAGTCTTAAATTGCTGTATTCAAGTGAACCAGGAAAGACATGGATAGTGAGTAAGCACACTTTTTTCATATTGTTTTCAGTCATGAAAACACTTCATGATGTCATAATAACTTGTTTGAGCATTTAAATAATAAGGGAATAAGTACATTTGTTTTATTTGTAAATGAAAACTTGCAAACTGAGATAAAGACTTGTTACTTGAAGATTGTACTTATTCCAGTTAGATGGGTGTCTATTTTATTAGACAATTAAAACCACTTTGGTGGAACTGGCTAATAGGTATTTCAGCAGAAAGACAAATAACAATTCTCATCACTGAATATATCTCCCACCTCTATGTATTTATGTCTCTTTAAACATCACTATACCTATTTTTCTATCCTCCTACAGTGATGTTATTGTAGAAAAGTTCATTTCATATGTAGGCTGAGGTGGAGTGAATGAATGTCAGCAGAAAAAAATTGTTGTTTTAAAAAATGACAGTAGATAATATCAGACACTAGAGGCATTGATTCCAAGATGTAGATGTTGCACGCAGGTTAATAAACCCGGTAAGATGGGGAGCTTTTGGTTCTGTACTTTAACATCTTTAGTTCTGAATAAGGTTGCATTCCCCCAGACAAACCTAATGCACAGTTTGGAGATTCTCCTGGACTCATGACTCCTGCTCAGTGAGTAGTTGGCAGTTTTGGCTAAGAGACCCATTGCAGAACTTTGTGTAGTATATCAGTTGCATCCTTTCCTGGATTGGGAGTCCCTACACTCAGTTATTTAAGCCCTGGTCATCTCACACACGGACTGCTGCAATGCACTTTACACGGGGCTAACCCTTGAAGGGTATCTGCAAGCTTCAGCTGGTGCAGAATACAGCTCCATAGACAGTTCTTGAGGTCCCTAAGATGACCCATGTAACATCGCTGTTCTGCAAGCTGCACTGCTTGCCACTTTGCTTCTGGGTACAAATCAAGATATTGGTTATCACTTTTAAAGTCCTTCATGTCATGGGTACAGGCTATCTAAGGAAGGGATCCCCAATTTCCAGTCTATGGACCACAACTGGTTCGCGGCAGCCAGAAACCGGTCCGCGCAAATAAGCGAAGCCCCATTCATGGGATGCAGGCAGCACACGAAACTACGCCCCCCTCCAGTCTGCAGAAAAACCTCTCTCCTCAGAACTGGTCCCTGGTGCCCAAAGCTTGCGGGGCGCTGATCTAAGGAACTGGCTTACCCCAATGGGACTTGCCCACCCCACCTGCGCTGGCAGAAGGGAGATACTGTGAACCCTGTCAATGAAGAGATTTCAGGATTTTACTTATTGTTTTAATGTTTTATATAGCATTTTATTTGAATGATTGTAAGCTGCCCAGAGCTGCCTCTGGAAAGATAGCAGTTTAATAATAAAAAATAAAAGACCATTACCACATGGTATTTAAAATTATTTGAAGATTTCTAAACTAATGGACTTTAAAATACATCAGTCCAAACTCCAGAGTTAAGAAAGCTGAAATTATAAGAACCCTTATAGACCAACACAATTCCCGATATTTTTCTAAGAAACTATTTAATAATCTTTCCAGCTAAAAGAAAACACGAGGCCTTCTGTGCATTCTTAAACTGCCAAGGTTTCAGCAAAACTGCCTTGTTGAATAAATACTGTAACTCAATAGCCAATTGTGAAACCACAGTATATAAAATGTGAGTGAAACCATTTTGAAATGATACTTGGTTTTGAATTTAACTGATGGGTGGCTGGAATCAATTAAAAAATGAAATTCAGCCTTAGTTTCTTTTTAATTCTTTGGAGACCAAAATCTGTGATTTGCAATATGTAAATATTCACAGACTGAATTCAGTACTAATAATTTATCACTTTGCCTATCTTAATGTGGATATAATTCTTTTAAAAATTAATTCTTTTAAAAAAGAACTATATTGACTATTGAAAGTTTTTTTTCTAGGCTTTGAGATTCTACATGCACACAAACACACACACACAGATACACATAGAGGGAGAGACAGAAACATATGTATTTTTCTATCAATGAGATAGAAGGTTTTTTTCTCTGACTTTTCAGCAATTCTGCAATATATATCCATAAGCTTTAAAGTTTTAATGCTTTAAGTAGAAGTAGAGGTAGAAGTAGACTTTCTGTATAAGCGTATGCCTGCCTGTTATGACTCAGACATTGCAACTGCTACGGAGTTTTTTATTTTCTTCCTACAACAAAGTCATATATACCGTATTTGTCTTTAGTTTTATAATTAAGGTTGAATACTATGTAATAAAAAGAGAATAGGATATTTTCAGGCATGTGTATTTGATAGTCAAGAAATGTGGAAAAAAAGCAAGTCAATTTTAAAACAATTCTTCAATTTGGAGTTTTGATTTTGTCTTGAAAATATGCCCAAGATAAATGGTAAAGAATTCTATTCAAATCAGGAGGCTGAAAGGTTGCTCTTTCTACTTTGTTGTGTTTCCCATTCATTTGCTGCACACCCAACATGATTTTAATTTTCATATTCCTTGACAACTGTGCAGACTAAAATTAATACACATAGTTTATAGTAAATGTTGTTAGATAGATAGTATATTCATATCGCCCATAAGGACTCCCTTGAAAGTCCTGTTCATCTTTCACTATCTGGTGCAGGAAGGGAGTTTGTTGAAAGCTATTGCATGGGGGGGAAAAGAAGTTGGTTCCTCCAAAATAGCAATGTTGCTGTCCACCATTCTGCATGTAGGCTTGCTTGAAGCCTTGAGCAATATTGAGGACATAGATGGGCAATTTACTTTCTGAAAGAGCTGAGGGGTAACACCAACCCAAAACTTAATCTAAACTTCCTCTACTTTCTAACCGCTATCCAACACTCCAGCCAAACACAGGTATAATGTGTATATTTATGTAGGAGCACATTGTATAAAAAGAGATAAAGCATTTATTGTATGGACCTACTCAAATGCAGTAAAATCTTAATTTCTGCCTTTGCAGTATGGAATGGTGTTCTTGGAAGGAAACATTTTGTGAATAAAAGAGGACTCATTGAATTATACGGAACCCTAAAATGTGGTACAAGCCGATTTTCTTTGGCCTATGTAGGTTATGGATGCTATTGTGGCCCAGGAGGAAATGGATGGCCTAAGGATGAAACAGATTGGTACGTACGACACTTCTTTCTCTGTTTCTATTACGTTCTTCAACTGAATTGATCCCATTCTATTTAATATATTTTAAATGAGGCCAGATTTACTTTGAGACAAAAATATATGGAAAAATAATAGTATAATATGATAAGAAAAAGGGAAGCAAATAACAAAATAATTGTGAGCACTCAGATGATATGATATGATTAGTCCAAACCTTCTCCTTTATTATGCTAGATGACATCATAATGTTGCTAAATTGCAAAGGCAATAGAAGAAAAGGTATGACCATGTGATCTCTTGCTGCAGTGAAACTAGAGCAGTATTTATTTTCAATTATTATACTTAATTTTTCACCCACATATATACACAATATGTATTTATGAACATCAAACCACTGTTGCTGTGTTTTCCTAAGACACTTCAGAGAAGTGGTTACTTCTTAAAGTATCCAGACTGTGAAGAGCTTCATAGAAGTACTTGATTGGGCTTGAAAATGTCTCACACACCAGAGCACTGTAAAAGTAGAGATAGAGTTTCACATGCGGCACATTCTGCTTGATGTTCAGGGCTCACATCAATGGTATTAATCAATCTCTGCTGCTGAAAGGTGCTGCCATAGACATGACTGCTGTTACGATTTTGCACAACGACAAGGCTGTCACCCGATAACAGACAGATATAAATGGACTTGTCAAGACAATACTGTGATATGTGGTAAGGTACAACTTGAATTTCATTATTTTCATTTACCTTATCCCAGAGACGCACAAGCAGATACAGATGTTCTAGAGGTGAAAAATTCAGCTTTAATTTTAGAATATCCTATTGGTTTACTCAGAGAGAAAAGCTTTCTCTTGGAAGATTCATAACACTGTTCCTAGCAGACTTTGTTTTAAACAACTTTAATACTAACAAAATTTCTCATAGCTGCCTAAAGATTCAGCTTACAAAAATACAATGTAATAGTAATTGAATTAAAGTTTTCTCTGGGCTAAAAGTGCTTGTGAAAGAGCGTTGATTTTGATGTTGGATATTTTAATTAATTAACTCAAATGAGGTTTGACCAACAGCAGTATTTTCTACTATCCTATGTCTAGATAGAGTATCATTTTGTTCTTTCCATTTTGCTAAGCCTGGTGCTAGGACATGCCAGTTCTTTTGTCCATACCACTACTGGACAAGAAAGTCCACAAATATGATTTTAACTTAAAGCAATTT